CTGAGATTTCCTCTTCATTACCAGACAAATTGATGTTGAAGGGAGAAAAAAAGTTGTAAAATGTAATGTTTTAATCTTTACAATTAGATATATGAAGAAGAGTAAGTGCCGCAATTTGATGAACACTTCAGATTCATAAAACGGGGCACACAGTTAGCTTAGGAATCAATTATAAAACTGATTATGCTCAAAATAAATATAAATTAAGATATTTATTCTTATAATAGTCGATATTAATGGTTTAAATGAAACGGTTCAAATTTGTTTGCAGATATTTTCATGTATCAATCAATTTCCAAGACATCCCTTTCCCCCGCAGCTTCCTTAAGGTAATTGTGAAATAAAATATCTAAGAAATCTACTGAACACACGTGAATTTTCTCTACAAAAGCACTGCAATCAAGGTCTGATTTTATTCCACCCTAAAGAATCAATCTGGGCTGCAGCCTGGTAGACAATTAAAATGTAAGGCCTTAAAATGCCTCCCCAAGTCAATCCGTGTCTCTGGTATTGACCACGATATATGGCCCGTGTCCAAGCCACCACTCACTGGCCAATCTTAAAGGTTACTGCGACCACTACATGTACCCACATTAGCAGGACACTCACCTCTCTGGGTTTATGGCCTGTGTAATAATTTTAAGCAAAGAGAGAAGTGCATTCAGTGGAGACAGTAACAGCGAGCGAGTCGAGGGAGGACAAGTATAGTATGATTGATCGTGGTGAGCAGTGTAGCTGTGTACCTCTCACCTCCCCCCCTGATTACTGCCTGCTCCTGATCTCTCACATCTGTCTTGACTTCCTAAAGAAACAGATTCCTCAGATATGATACTTTTCACTCTTGGGATTTCAACTTTGTCAAAAGGTCGATTTAAAAAAAAAAATGTTCAAGGAACATCCTTGGATTCATGGATGAATTGTAAGTTACAGTAGTGTATTGATTAAGGGCATCTATTTTAGTGGTTAAGGGAGAGGATGCTTCTCCATTTGGATGTTTATCACCCCATATTTTTTTCCAGCATGTCCACACAAACTAACTAAAATGTCCCCGGCTAAATTTACTCCTGTCCAACAAACATGTTGGAGATGTATCAACTCTCTAATTGTGCATTTAACATTCTTAACAGTTTATTAGTTTACCTCCCACACTAACACTTGGAATGATTTAATGACCACAGAGGGAGTTAACACTCATTAGCAGATGCAATATTTCCTACATAGTTATCTACCTTTCATGCACACGACTGTACATGCAATCCGTTCATTGGTGCATATATCTCAGTGCAATTTAATTGTACTTGTACTTTTTCTCTTACTTTATACTTTTAGTCTTAGCAATATAGTACATTACATGACATGTCATGTCACTTGTTAGACGCTTTTATCCAAAGCAACTTACATACTCAATACTGTGGGCAATCCCCACAGGAGCAATTTGGGGTGAAGTGTCTTGCCCAGGGACACAACGACATGCTGACTGCAGTGGGGTTTGAACCTGTGACCCCCTGATCCGAACACCAATGCACAACCCACTGCACCACACGCCTCCCATGTACATGTTTAATCCATTGATACTATGCAATAGCTAATATTTCATGTATGACATTCAAAGATATTATCAGCTCATAAAATATGACACATTACAGTATATTTAACTACTTGCCACTATATAAACCATTAAAAAATAGTTCCTTCTTGACCCCCATAGCAGTTTTATTATAATTATACTGAGTACTTTTAAGAATTTACATACATTTTGCTATAAAACTTCACTCTAGACTTTGCTTTTGATATTCTGGTATAGCGATATTTGTTCTTAGAGCACCAACACAATACACCTGCTATATTTAACATTTTAAAGCCACCTTTCCTTAGATATGAGCTTACTGCTCTAAACCATGGAGTAAAATCTACAAATATCCATGCTCTCTCTCTCTCTCCTTTCACATGTGCAACTTTAATGAAGACAAAGTGCATCCACACCAGCGACAAATACCAGGAAGTAAATAAGAATAGTATCCAAACCAAATGAAAGACTGTTCATAATTGGGTTAGTAATATCTCTGGCACCGTCTGCTCGGTCATTTCCTCCAATCTCCTCGAGCAACAGGGGATCAAACAGGCGACACTCAAACCAGGAGGTATCTCTCCACCGCGTGACAGGCTGCCGTCACCGGGCTCCAGGATTCTTTCACCGTCTCCAGCAGCAACCAGGAAGCTCAAGAAAAAGGACGAACATCATCTTCAGATGTAAAACACGCAGCGATTCAACAAATCTTTGAATGATTTGTGACCCCTTTTGTGGACAGCGAAATCGGGAAATCATGCACCCATAACTTCTCACTTAATCTGTATTACTCTCATCACAACAGAGCAAGCCACTCTATCAGTAAATGCTAATCTCCTAATTAACAAGCTAATTAGGCAATTACAGCTTTGCAGAAGGATGCCTAAATGAAATATGACAACACAGTCACTTTCTACAGCACCTGTGGGTCTTTTCACATGTCACAATGAGAAGCATGATGACAAAGTGTTGTGTCTACACTCATAGGTGCTAATTCTTATGCCTCGCTTAACTCATTTGTTAAAATATTATCATTTTATTAACCCTATTGCACAGTTAATGTGGATGCACTTGTCAAATAAGATGTTATTTATTTATCTTTAAAGAAACTCACCTACTGCATTTTTCTTTTTACAGAAATATGATTTTTCAAATTGAAGTCTACAGAAAACAGTGGATAGCACAACCTCTTGGTTATGTAAACAAGGTTTTGTGAACTAGTAGTGCCACACTGTCTTACTGTTGGGAGCTGTCACATACGGAAATGAATTATGTTGACATATGGCTGAAAACAACGGTGAATAGGCCTGCTATGCAATGCAATGAAGAATCATGCACTGCAACAGAGGAGAGGAGCCGGAGCTGTACCTTTGAGCCCCTCTTGACAGGTGTGGAGGGTGACTTGACAGCTCAGTATTTCAATGATAAATGCAGTAGTCCTGGGACTACCATTCACTAAACTAGAGTGTGTTGCTCTGAAACTTCAAGGTCAAATCGATGAACACAACTACACAGACTGCTAACAACATCTAAATATATTTATTTCACATACTCAAATCTTGTGATATTATCATTTCTAACTTAGAAATGTAGCATAAAACCATTATCCGTGATGTTCTCGAGTTCACTTTTAATGTGAAATTCACCATCTTTTTCTTAATATGTATTCATTGATATTGATAATTAGGAGTGGCAAATTTACTGTGTGCTGTTCCACGTTTATTTTTGGACTCATCCTACTCTAGTTCCTGGACTTCAAATGTAGCTGCGGGGTGATGTTTTCATCCTTTACTAAATTATCAAAATCTAAAAAGATTAAATAATGACTCTGGGTATCTTAAGTTTTAGTGTTTTTTTTCCAGTCAGTTCTGACTCATGAAGATGAATAATTTCCTTAGAGCAGGCGGTCCATGATGTCACTTCTATTCTATACTGACCAGAGGATCACTGACTTATACCAACACAATATTATAAGGGCTACATTTAAACTTAAGAGTTGAGATGATTGCAAAGAACAAATGTAATTAACAATTAGGCTGCAATTGTTTTTCATCATCAATCATATGCTTTGTGATGTTTTCTGTGAACATTGAGTTCAAGTCTCATACACGTTAAACGTCCCTGTCAAAACAGTTAAGAATAATTAAAGAAATACGAGATTCCATATCAGCGATATTGTTTTTGTTCATCACATATAAACCCACATTTTCCATTAAACAGGAGCTTTCTGTCCAAGATAATAATCTTCTTCTCAGCGTCTACCTGCAAGTTCCTTCTTACTTAGTTTAAGTTTTGTGATATCTGCCTGTCTTTCTGATGACTTGATTTTGATATTGTCAAAAATATTTGTGTATTTAAAAGTGAAAGCATCACATTTGCCCGTTGAAAATAAATGTTTATGCACAACCATAATCAACATGATTTGCTCTGAATAAGACCTCTGATACATTTCCTTTTTTAAAACGTACTGACATTGCCTGCGAAAAAAGTAATTTCTTCCCCAGCAGATCAGGTTCCTTAGAATAAACTGCGGTCCATGATGATGACATTTGTCCTGACTTCTGTTATGCTCATCAGTGTGACTTCAAAAAGAGAGGATTGAGACTGAAACTAAAAAGTGGAAAAAAGTGTTGTAGACAGTTATAGCTAGATTTTCCAGGGATAATACTGACCTTTATGCGTTTCTTCAAGTGGAATTTTAGGTGGCTTAACACATTTATTGATCCCTGCTGCCTACTTTTGGGAGAAATGTCACCAACAAAGGTTATTTTGTCTGTTGGAGGACATAATAAGTTATCGTTTCCTGGCAATAAGTAGGCCTGCACATGAAGCTGCACAATTCCCCTTAAATACTATTTATGTTGACTTTTTTTAGTAATTGTCATCTTAAAACTGTATCAAACAAAAGTTATACTTCAAGCGTTCAATTGCACAAGCCCTTTTTACTGTCTTTCTTTAAAACTCCAGAATATCAAACCCCTCAATAACTCCACATTATTTATTCCCCTGAGTTCCTCATAAAATGCCCTCCTATATAAAGTCAAATCTTAATTGTTTATTCGTCTTTTTCAATCCACTATCTGCTCATTGAGGAGGTGCACATTATATGTGCAGCCTTGCATCCAGCTCAACAACGTGTCTGCTGCCATAGCAACTGCGGAGGAGCACCGAGCAGCGCCGCCTGTTCGTGCAATAGATGTCACTCGTAGCAACGACCAATCAGAAGTTCCCATCCTTTTGTGCGAGCGGTGCGAAGATGGAGGGATGGAGTGGGTGGGCTCTCAGCCTCATGCATCTGCCAGTAATAGGACACACGGGTCGTCAGTCTTCATCATTCTGGGCTGCGATTGGTCGAGGAGCTTTACTTTCCAATAATATAAACATGTCTACTGCTTGCCTGACTTGAACCAAGGCTTACAAGGGACTGTGCAGTTCTACATCAAACTGTATTCAAACTCTCATTATGCATTTGCCTGTGTTGTAGCAGGGCTAAATCTTTATTATTGCTAGAGAATATGCACATAGCTGCACGTGCACGCGTGAGGAAACGAGGATACCAAACTGTCGCCGCTGCGAGAAAGAGAGAGGGGACTCTGCCGTGCTTTCATCAATATAATCACCACCCTAAGTACTAGCTCTTAACATTTTGTTTTTCGGTGTTCAGGCGAGAAGTGACAAGAATATAGACCCCTCCTCTGCAGGGCGGAGCGTGCATTTTCATTTCGTATTTTGTATTTTTTTTTCTACCCCTGTTCCCTGCTCTGACACGTCTGCACTGAGTGAGTGGCATTGGCACACTGTCAATCGCTCACTATACCGCTGCCATCAAACAACATAAAACACACACAGGCAGAGGCTGGAGCTCATAAATTTCAGCAGGGCAAGATATTTTTTTGCGCATCGCCTTTATACAGCGTATCCTAATTAATTTCTTCTCGTGGTTGCTTTTTTTTTTTTCAACCAGAAATATCCCAACTTTTTTTGTATATTTCATATTTTTTGTAGTCACATTTGGACACCTTATGCCGCAGATTGTGTATTTTTTTTAAATATTGTCAGTTGTCGCAGGAAACATTTCTGCACATTTATAGTTGGCAACACCTGCAAGATTTTTTATTTGTTTACACGTTGGATATTTTTGTTGCCGGTGCATCACTAGGACGGTTTGGACATTTTGGAGACGGAATGCGCCGGGAATCCCATGAAGAGCGCTAATAGATGAGAGATCACCAAGGAGCGTTTCTGTCCATACCACCCGTCAAATCCCAGAGAAAAGACAGATTGGCATGAGGATTCGTGCGGGATACGATGGACCGTCAATTTTGACAAAGAAGTGTTAAGAAGAAGAAACAATTAATGCATTTTTCTACAAACATAGTCACGCGTTTTGGCACTTTGGACCGCGCGTAAAAAAGCGAGAGGACAGCGAAAACTTGGACATAAGATTTACGCAAAAATATCTCTGCTAGGTTGTTGTTTTTAAAACAACAACGTGTGCGCTCTTTTTCGCTAAAGAAACACAGCCGTGCAACCCCTTCTTGTCTGCAGCACTTGCTATAACCGATTTCGTATATGAGTTTTTCAATTTGTGTGGCTCAGTGCACAGACTCTTTAGCGTCTAGTATGGACGATCAAGCCCGGATCATGCAGTCCATCGGCGGTGTCAGCCTTTCTGGCCACTCGGTACAAGGAGGCATGGCACTGCCGCCTCCACATGGACACGATGGGTCAGACGGAGACGGAAGAAAACAAGACATTGGTGACATTCTCCATCAAATAATGACCATAACTGATCAAAGCCTGGACGAGGCGCAAGCAAAGTTGGTTGATTTATATGTTTTATTAACTTCGCCCTCCCCAAAATGATGAACGCACCATTATTAAGATGTGGCCCTCTTAACTTAACTCCCCCATGCATAACAATAGACTGGAGTCAGTGGCTTTAATGATAATCTTACACTGAGGTGTATTTACTGCCTCGCAAAGATTTAACACATGAGAAAGTTGTCACTTAGGGAACAACAGCATTTTTCTTTAAAGTGCTTGTCTGGCAAAAGTCATCCTGAACAAGCTTGTGTTGTTCAAAAAGTTTCTGTGCACACATAGAACATTTTCATATATCTGCAAAACTAACATGCTTAAAAAAAAAAAAAAAATCCTGTAAGTAGGTTGATTATATTAGTATTATATTTATAATGGAGTATTACACTTTTGTGACCTAAATAACAGATAATTATATTTAGTCATTTTGACTGTATTGTAGCAAATGATAACTTCTGAGAGACATGTGATGGTTGTAACATTGCAATACTTAGAAAAAGTGACAACTAAACTCAACATCTTAAATACTCCATTTACCTGCTAATTTCTAACATGTGATGTTTCAGTGAATTTATTTCAGTATATTATTTTGTCTTATACTGAAACAGGAAACATGGGCTGAACTGTCACAGAATGAAACCAGCACTCTTCAGCGTTCTCTGTGAAATCAAAGAAAAGACAGGTAAGATCTTTATATACAAATATTTTATTATGAATTTAATATAATAGTAGTGTCTCAATGCAACATCACACAGACACTTACCTCCCAGTGATCTGATGCCAGCCTGCACCCAGGTTATAGGGACCTCTGCCCATATTAATCAATCACTTAAAGAAAAGTCATTGTGCCACACAGAAAAAAACGGTTTCTGTCATGGAGGATGTTAGGTTTGTTTCATTATTTTTGCAGGAGCATCTTTTTTCCAGCAGTGTTTGCTTGTATTTAAACAGAAAGTGCGCTCCAGCTTTTCCCCTCTCTACTCTGGCAGCGAACAGGAGGGGGAAATCCCACAGCATATGCTCTACATAGCTGAGATCACAATGAATTCATCCTTTATAACCTGACAACAATTGTCACATTTTCAACATACAAAGACAACTACATTCTCTATCAAAATGGGTATTGCAATTGCATGCAGACTCACTCCTTTCCTCCAAATTAAGGCAGTTCATTCTGGGGAAAAAAGCAAATAATTGAATCCTCCTTGAGAAAATTAAAGGACAAATATTTATATTATATTTCATATTACGCAATTTGTCTAAATAGGCATCTAGTCTGCAGATTTCTAGGAACAGGGTTGAAAACTTTCAGTGTGTTTGCACATATAAAGAGACAGCTGAAATAATAGATACACTCATGTCTTATAACTTTTCTTACATTTCAAACTTTGCTATATATTTTTTTATAAATTAACCTTTGCAGAGACATATTTTTTCTACAATTTTCCCACAATGTTTATGGGACATATCATGTGCCTCGAAATTCTTAAACACATATTTGTATATAGTGATAACAGTTTTCACACACTGTTTATTATGCCTTACAGTTATGTGGTCGTTTTGTTCTTGAAACTATAAGAACAAAGTGCTGTTAAAAATATGCTTCAATTATTCAAACCACTGAGCATCCCTATTTATTTTTTAAAGTATAATATATATTTCTCAGTCAAAGAAAATATAAGAATATAAATAGAATTATGCTGTCAGTTTGGTGTAATTTAGCAAACCTGATGCCTTGTCAGATTTGTGACCTTTGTGCAGTTTATGAGGAAATCGTCTGGGGAGAGATCATAAAAGTTTATGAACTTCCCCGACACAGGTGGCGTCCACAGGGACAGACAGAGGGTCCACAGTCTAGCCGAGGTGCTCTTCTGTGTGTGTGTGTGCCTGTTGAGTTTAGACGAGAGACAGCGAGAAAAAACAGAGGCTGCAGATCGCACATCACACAAAATGCCAGCTTTTATTCTCTGCACAAGCATTGATTGGATATGAACGTGTTTTCCAGTGCTGAAGCAATGATACATCAGTAAAACATAGCCGTCATTGGATAAAGAAATCTGAGAAATCATATAAAAATACTATCATTACTCTGCAAGTAACTTTCATTTTATGTTTTACTTTGTTAGTCCAAACTTGCATGATGTCTTTAAATATTCCTGCTGTTGGATTACGTTTAAAATAGCCTAACATAAGAAAGTAAATGAACATTTTTATCAATATACTTACATGTATGTGTGCAGGAGAGTGTATGTGCCATGGACTGATTGTGTGTGAGCAAGAGATGAGACGGACAAGAGGGAGAACAGGGTGTGTGTGTGTGTGTGTGTGTGTGTGTGTGTGTGTGTGTGTGTGTGTGTGTGTGTGTGTGTGTGTGTGTGTGTGTGTGTGTGTGTGTGTGTGGTGTGTGTGTGTGTGTGTGTGTGTGTGTGTGTGTGTGTGTGTGTGTGTGTGTGTGTGTGTGTGTGTGTGTGTGTGTGTGTGTGTGTGTGTGTGTGTGTGTGTGTGTGTGTGTGTGTGTGTGTGTGTGTGTGTGTGTGCATGGTTAACCTGTGGTTTAGAGTCACAGCCTCCCCCTCTTAGCCATTGACAGAGCTCAGCTGGTCTGGTGGCCTTGTTGACCGGCCAGTTTTTGCAGCACACAGTGAGCCTTTCACTGGCTCCTGTAGCATCGTTCTCAGGGCTTCCTTGGCCCTTTCATGTCCGTTCAGATGGCACAGGGGCCGCTGTCGTTTAGCCATGTGATCCTCCGTTGGCTGAAAGTGACTTTTAATAATACATTTGAAAGCGTTCCAAGAATCATAGCTGTAATTACTGCACGCATGTATCATGTTATCCAGACTTATTGTCGAGTGTGCAGATGAATAGCCAGGTCAGGGTTCAGCTTCAAAGCTTCTCGTGTTTATGTTTAAAGTATTATTTTACGAGCGGAGACAAAATCAAAGAATGGTCTTTTCATTTTCTCGTGGAAGTAAAGAAGATTTTTTACTGTAATAGCAAGACATTGTGAAGCCTTTTGAATGGTGTTTAGAAGTTTCTGGCACTCTTCTAACTTGTTATTGTAGAGCTACAACATTTTTCTGCATTGCTAATGCCCTGGAAGTATTAATTCACTTTGATATGCTAATTAGAGAGCATTATGCAAGAAATGAGATTAAGTGGCAGCATGAAGTCATTTGCCTGTCACTAAATTGAGTGTTTTTAGCAGGAGGGTTTTTTTCCCCCCCAAATTTTCTTGGTTTTGCATTTAGATAAGCTAAATGTGAGATTTGGTCGGCGAGTGGAGTTCTTTGTCTTTGAGTGTTTCATGTTTTTCTTTTAGAATATACTTAAAAAATGTCAATTAAAATGGTTTTATTCTCGATGTTCTAACAGTTTCAGGACAAAGGTTACATTCATGTACCTTTTTGCCTGTAGGCTGCGTGAGAAGACAATGAATGCATTGAGTGAACATTGCCTGCGATTCAGATGAGTTCTGCAGTTATTCCTCTGTGCTGGGTTTGTGTTATCCTGCTGGCTACTCCCTTGTCTTGCTCTCGTGCTTGGAAGAGAGACTCACAGCAGCAGCAGCAGGAGCGGCAAGAATAACAAAGGTGAAAGATTACCTCCATATGGTATTTCTGACCAGGAAAAGAGAGGTTCTGTTGCAAGACTTCTCTTTGATGTGAGGTTTAATCAATAGAAAGAGATTACAGAAAACTATTACAGGCTAAATCACGGAGTGCCACAGAGAGGCTTAGCCCTCTCCACAGCTCTCTCAGCTGCATGGCGCTTCTTTGGCTGCGTATTGACTTGTTGTTTTCCTGACCTTTGACTCGTCAGGTTCAGAAACAGGGGGTCTGGAGAGGTAGGGGAGGGAGAGAGTGTGGCAGATTCAGCCTGATAAATGCTCCTATACACTGTTTAAAGCATTGGATTAAGGAGGGACTGCAATTTCGGAAACACTGTCTGGGTTTTGTTGCACTCGTTTGATTTGGATCGGAAAAGCAATTTCATATATGTTTATCAGTTTGTCTGCGTTATATGTAATGTCCAACTCGGAAAGACTGTGTTAATTAAATACAGTTCAGGATGAGCCGGTAATTAACCACATGCAAGGCCGACTAAAAGCATTACCTGGAGTAAATAGAGTTAGGACTGAGGAGGTAAGCATTTCTAAGATCTACAGGAAACATTCATTTCAATGTTGCCTGACAGAGTTAATGACCCCTCTCATTCCAATTGTGATTAATAATACATATGTATTGTTATTATTATTATTATTATTGCAGCTAAAAAATAAAAGACCACATTTTATGAGCAGGGAATATATATAACAAATTATATATATTTTCTTTGGTTTTCCTACCTTGTGTGTTGTCTTGGTGCAGGAAAAGCTCCAGTAAATGCATGTGTGAGAACAGAAAGCTATTCAGCAGGAGAGACAATTGACTTTGGCTGCTTTTTGTCTCAGAGAGCCCCAGTGATGCGGCTGCAGTGACTAGATAGTGTTGTGCCGAATGGCTCGCGCACAGCTGGGTTCCTGACTGTCTCAATGGCAGGGCCACTATTGCTTCCTCCTCTAAAGCACGAGGGGGACCGGGGAAGATGTGGCTATTATCTAAGTAGCTCCCAAATACCCTCCATTTCCCCATCAGCAAAGATGAAAAGAAGGAGAGCCAGACAAAGAAAAAAAGGAGAGAAAAAAACAAGAGTGTACACATCAGTTTCATTTGGAGGGGTAAATGCTTTTGTGCTGTGGAGATAGATGCCTCTGCACCGGTGCTGCCTGGTGTCTGCGCGCACGGCTCCTCAAAGCTGTTTTTTTTTTGTACGATGATCCAGTGCTGTCCCTCCATCTGCACACACAAGCACCCATCTTGCAAACGTCTCCCTCGCTCCCCCTCTATCGCTCCAAGCGTTTTCTGCGGGCTCCGGCGCGATCAACAGCTCATAATTGTTTTTTGCACATACGTTATGCAAATGAGTCTTTATGGCAACTGGCATAACAATTAGCATCCTCCAACAATATTTTAGTAGGTTAATTGCGAAATTTCTGAATTGTACATCTGAGTTGTTAATTAGGCATGACAGAGGTGGTGAAATAGTTATCTTCAGGCGATGGCAGCCAGCAGAGGCTGCTTGGGATGCAAAAAGGAAGGATTGATTGAAATGAGTTTACAGCAGTAGGAGCGTGGCTGGTGGAGACTCTTTGAATGCCTCTTTTCTTTTTGAAGCTGTCGCTGAACGTCGAAATATAAACCTGAAGCAGACAGGGAGAAGCTACTTCAAACTATGACCCCCTGTAGAAATAGATTAAACGTGAACGATACAACTTGTTGTCCTGTCGGCACGAGTTAGGACAGATTCTTTCATGCATCACTGGGGCTGCACTCTTGTCAAAACAGTGAAAGACCTTTGACCCGACAGACATAGTTAAACCAAATGTTTATTTTTTGCAATATGGAAATGTCCCTGCTTTAAAGAACGTTAATGCCAACAACACACACTTTTAATATTTAACACTTTTGATCTTAGGAGGAAGATTTACTGAAAAAAGAAAGGAAAAAAAGTGGTCCTCTATCATTTTTGGCAGAGACAAATTAAAAAGCCATCAACTTGCGTTAATGAAACACAAGATAAAATTAACTTTTATTGCTTTTATGATTAAGACAAACAAAGGTATTATTATGTACCTCGTTTGAT